GTCGAATATATGTAACATACTATTTTTAATTCGTGCCATCGTTCATTTGACCTACACAGCATTAATAACATACAACGTAAATCTTAACTAACTAGCTGCTGCCCGCGACTACGTCTGCGTAGAATAGGCTGAAGGCGTAACATTCAGACAGAAAGACAGATATACATAACAATATGTGCATAGAATATAGCCTATGTCTTATTCTGATGTATAAGCTATGCTATTGTAAAGTTTCACTAAAATCCATTCAGTAGTATTTGCGTGAAAGAGTAACTAACAAACATCCTTCATACAAACTTTCGCGTTTATAATATTATATAATTATGATAGGATGCTCTGTATGTTAATAATACAGTTTTATATCATGTTTCTCATAATTATTGCCCACAACTTATCAAATGAATAACTTTAATAGCATCGTTATGTAAAGTAAAATAAGATTACACCGCAGATTCTTACGCAGCACGTTTCCGAGTTTTCAGTATCAGAATACTTTTTCTTATATCTACGGGCCGAAAGCGATAACTTCAGTTGTCAAGACAGTACCCAGTCCTGACTAAAAATTAAGATGAAGTGGTAGCGGTCAGGACATTGCTTTAGCGATGTTATGTCCAAACTTGGGCAGGTTCATACAGGGAAAAGTATTTGGGTCTTCGTTGCAAAAACTGAGAAAGTTTACCTTTAAATTTCTCTACGTCTCGTACGCTAAAATCAAGTTATAAATATGATTGCATACTATAGTTCGAACACAAATCGAACAATGTCGAATTATTTGTTAAAAAATTAAAGTTATATTTATAAAAAATCTACATTTTATTTCATAGCCATCTGTCGGGTACAATGTTATGCATCTTACTAGTTTTTACAACGCGACTCTACTTAGAGCTCATATTTACTTTTGTTTATTTGTAGAAAAAAGTATTTTCATTTTAAGTGCAGGGAATAGCACTATAAAAGCTACTATAATTTAGATCTCTTTTTGGAATTAATTTCAGAAATTAAAATAAAATGAAACGAAACATGAACAATTAAAATAAAACAATCAATATGAAGTACCGTAATTACTTTTTATTTTCTTTTCTATTATCTAGAATGTTAAACAGTTTTTGGGTTACTTTTGTATTTATTCTGTTTCATAAATAAATAAAAATAAGATACAAAGTAAAATCACTTTAGTTTTAGCAGATTCGTCACAGAATATTTACGAACTTCCCATATATCTGCGTATTGAGATGCAGTAAAATTAATTTGTATTAAGAATTTATAGGATTAGACAAATTGGTTTAGAAAAATTATTAACATTTGTTTTTTTTTGTGATAACTTGGCAAACGAGGTGGTGGTTCACCCGACGGTAATGACCGCCGCCCATGGGCATCTACAGCACCTGACGTGTATCTCAAGACGAAACACGAATGTTCTTCTACTACACGCAGTTCTTTTGCTAGGCCGTGTTATTCTCCGCCATGGGCCTGCCCAGTCGCGTATAAGCAGAAACTGCTGTGTGACCCTACCATTTTAGGTTTTTTTTAGGAAAAAAGAGTTAAACGAGCAGTAGGCCCACGGGATAGTAAGTGATCACCGTTGCCCTTGAATATCTGCAACACCGGAAGCGTGCAAAAGCGTTGACAGCCTTTAAAGGTCGTAATGGTTCGGAATGACCGCCGGTGGCAGCTGGTTCCACACAGTGGTTGTGCGAGGTAGCAAATGCCTGGAAAATCGGGCTATTGTGGAACCCTGGACATCGAAGTGGTGTAGATCAACTTTTTGACTTTTGCTCGATGTCCGATGGTGAAATTCAGCCGCCGGTATCAAACCAAACAATTCCTCGGAACACTCCCCGTGACATACGCGTTAGAAGATGCAGAGTGATTACATTTACATCTCTGCGCAGAGCCAAAGGATCAAGCCGATAGGACAGACCCTAATCTTCGATAATCCGAGCAGCCCTACGTTGAATGCGGTCAAATGAGAGAAGCCGGTAATGGTTGGCCCAGAATCCCAAAGATAAGAGCAGTACTCCATGTGGGGGCTGAACGTGCTCATAGAGGCTTAGGCGTAGGTATGAAGAATTTTCAAATAACTTTTTTGGCGGTAGAGCCACGCAGCAGCCTCAGCACGAATGGGCAGGCTTGACCGGGTAAGTACCACGACCTCACAGAAGACCGGCGTAAAGTGGAAGTATATTATTTTCGCGTTTCGTCTGGTGAGTGAGGTAGCCGGAGCACAATTTTCAAAAGGTTGTCAACGTATCTACAACCGTCGGGTGTAACAGATATCCATGGGCGGCGGTGTTCACTTAACATTAGGTGAACCGCCTGCTCGCTTGGAAACTTTTAACATAAAAAAACTAATACTTACTTTAAGTGCATCACCATCTATGATATTTTATAAACAACTGAATAGACAGGCGTTATATTAAATTAGGCAAATTGCTTCTTAACTGCCGGATTAAAGAGAGTAAGAAATAAAACGAACCATATGTATAGGCTAAAATCTTTAATATTAACAACGATATACTCTACAAGTTACAATAAACTTCCATATAAATTATACAATCTACGGGACATCGTCACTCTTACACTCAATGCATGACAGATTACTGTCAACTGACTTTTTGGTAATATCCACCGACATTGCTCTGGATTTCAAAGTAATTACAGGTACCCAGTCAAATGATTTAATGCAGTTTTACTAAATATATAAATTGGTAATAATAATTTTACATTTTTTTTAAATAAATTTCTTTTTACTAACGATAATAAAAAACAAATAACTTTTCTAAGCACTGTTAAATTTAGTATTATTAATCTCGGAAAATCCTAGTTCACGTTAAGAGAATCGTAGGATTTCAAGCACAAGAGTAGTTTTTCCTTCTATACCTTTTTTTAGATTGACTAAACATATAAATAAAACTATAAAAAAAAAGAAAAAAAAAACGGAGAGTGAATTTTGTGCGCAGATAATTCCCGGCCCAAACTGCCTTTTATTACATTAAATAATTCGCCTCGGTAGCTGTAAATTTACGACAAAAGCCAAGCACCTTACCAAAACTTACGTTACAATGTAATATGCGTTCCAACACTTAAACATGACTGTATAGAATTCGTCTTCTAACATGGATCAACGCACCAACACTCGAGATGGTTTCGTTTTCTATGTCATAGTACCATGTAGTTGTTTGAAAAAAAGAAATAATAACACCAAATGTGCATTACGTTCACACGACGTTACGACAGACGACTACATAAGAATACTTAATTAATTTTTATATATTTTTTTCAGACTGATTCGGAACTGTCATAAAATATTTTAAGAGTCAACAGCGAAACGAATCATTTATCCAAACAGCATAATACCATTCGTTGGGTACGTTATTTAAATTAAAAGCCATCCCATCCTTATGATTATTGCAACATTGTAATGAATTAACTCCTAAAATATTTTAAGTTTTACTTATATAGATATGATGAGATTTGAAAATGTTATTGAGACGAGTTGAATCGGAAATTGAGTCTAAAAAAGGTATAAACTTAATTGTACAACGCCGCTTTGTAAGTAACTTTTCAAATCGCACATGTAATAGATGTTTAATGATATGCAAAACTACATAATTGTTACTTCTTTGGAAATTTCAAAAACTTACTCTTCGTCGCTCATTTTTCTCATCGCATTTTGTACGAAAACATAAAAATATAAACGTTACTATGATTGACTTATGTTATATCATTTGACAAGTTACAAACAAATTTACTCATGAGGTGAACTTAGTTACAAAATTAATTAACAAACAATATAACAATAAGAAGCATAAATTAAGATCGAATAGAGAAACTTATTACGGTGAGACAGCGCTATTATTATAGTTAAATATCATAATATGGTACTAATTTTTTCACCAACATATCTCAATTCATGTTTCTTAACAAAAAAACCTTAAGAAAACAATATAGGGAATCATAAAGACAGATCGAGTCCGAATCAGCGGAAGGAAACTTGCGGACCGTCGAAAAAAAAAACAAATAAACAATAAAAAAAGATATCACTATGTCTATGCTTCGCAATTTGTTTTATTTATTTTAAAAAAATGACTAGTTCGAGTTATGTGAGATCTTGTCGAGTCCGAAGGTTCCTTCTACTTACACAGTATGACTATATATTATGTATATTTTGTACGGGAGCAGCGAAGATTCAGAAGCTTGAAAGATCTATATTTAAACCACATCTATAGTAAATATATTACAAACATAGTTTCAATATATTTTCAAACACTGAGTAATTATTCTTTGGAGGCCACGTGTTCTAGCTCCCATCAATATCGGCCACATTGACAATTCAATATGTGACTGTTACGCTAACCAAGTATTACACTGATTGAATTCTGGTTCTTAAAATTATCGGTAATTCGAAATCAACAAATATTTTTTCTCGTACGGGAAATTTAAACAACTTCAAAAGGGGCTTGAGTGCTGAGATTTTGTTACAATAATAGATCAAGATTAGGTTAGGTGAATAATTTCCTTTAAGTATGCGTACAGCGGATTGCACCCAAACGTTTATAACGCAAACTAATATTTTCGTATGTCCACGATAAATGATGAAGATTAATTGAAACTTAATGATGCGCAGTCGAAATGATTAATGAATATCTAAAGATGTACGAATTAACAGAAAATTTGTACATCTATACAGTATACATATTTCTTTATAAATATTTACTAGCTATTACTTAAAAATATTCACTTTTGACACTACGTAAGTTTAAATTACATCAAATACACCTATTTGTATATACGTCTCGTTATATTGTGATAGCATCTTTTACACGTGACTACTAATAAACGTACGGTGCATATTGGTTCCTCCTACGTATGAGTTAATCCGGCATAAAAACAGTATTTCTTCCGCTGTACGGCAAGGATATGTATGCAAGTTAAATAATATTGTTGGTATGCTTCTGTTTGAAATGTACGTGGTTGCATGTATTTGTGTGTGTCGTTTAACGTCGGCCGTTCCTAGTGTCCGGATGCGGTCGCCTCGGATGATTCATCACTGAAAATTTGTATGAAATTATAAAAATGTAATTTGTAACATGTTAATAGAAAAAAATATTCACGTTATTTTTATAAATTAATTATATACATATACAGCGTGTCGTTACCATCGCGACAATAAATGAACACACGTCTAACGCTACTTGCCAATAATCATAAAAAAATATTAACGTTAAACAAAATCCATAATTAAAAAGAAATATTTTTCAAACAAACTAATTAAGTAAAAAAGAAACAAAATTTGTAACATCCTATACAACTCGCGCACAGCGTCGCATTACAAGCCTCTCCTTCTAACAGTATGTTTTGTCTCTTTTAAATTCATTCAACCCATTCATATGCTTTGTGTTGAATTTTACGTTACAGTTTTATACGTAAGGGTGTTCTAAAACTGTTTGTTTTGGAAAATTTTATAACTCGGTAAATATTGATGTTTGAAGAATGTAAATGTATAATACAATTTTAAAAAGTTATCCTCTATATGTGTGTTCATTTATTGTCGCGGTGGTGACGACACGCTTTATAAAACACTCAGCGGTGAAGGAAAACATCGTGAGGAAACCTGCATGTTTTCGAAATAATGATAACAGAAAAAGATTTCGAAGAAATGTGAAGTGCGCCAATCTGCAGTGGGGCCGCGTGGTGGGCTATGCCTGATACCCTCTGTACAGAGGAGACCTTTGCCCAGCAGTGGGACTTATATAAGCTGTTACTTGACTTTTATTTTTACTATTAACATTTGATGAGTATTATTATTGCGTGATGATTTTTTTTACTATTAACATTTGATCAGCATCGGTATTGCGTGAAGATTGTAAATAATTGATATTATGGATATTATTGAAAAACATATAACTTATATTGTGTTAAAGAGGTATGTATGGTTATTCACCGACCTGGATGCACTGGCCCCGGCGACCGCCTGCACCATGTGCCGGGCGACATCTGCCGGGGAGAAGCGGAATTAAACAAAAACATATCACAGTAAACTACGGTGAAATAGTGTAATTTACTAAATACCAGTGGCTACAAGAGACCGATATATTTTATAAAACTGCCTCAGGAAGTTGCTTTCAACGTATCACCAATGTAATTTAAAAACAACATATAAGATTTACAGTTCTATTAATCTAGAATCTAGAGATTTCTTTGTGCAACGACATTGTCCGACTCGGTTTTTGGTCCTTTTTTGCCGCAAAATTTGAAATATGAATTGGAAAATCAGATAAATAAAAATATCGGTAGCAAATATCTCTGTATAAAAAAAAACCAAATCAAATATAAATATGAAATAAATATTCTTTCAGGACATATATTTCATCAAGGTAGACGTGGGTTCTATTCCCGCAGCGGTGAAAAACTTTGCGTCCATTTCTAAAACTATACTTCTGTCGGCGTGATTGGATAAACTTATGAGAGTAAAATTATTACGATGCGCACGCACAACGACAGTCAAAAAGCGACATGATGAAGATGGCTGCAAAGCGAACAACTTCACGGTATAAACATGTCAACTTTACCAAATAATTACCAAAGTCATTTAATTAAACCGTTATCAATTGCATTTGATCTCTTTCACAAACGCAGAGCAATCAATAAAATTTAATCACCGGCACAGGCGATTATATTCCTTTTGTTACGCTGCAGAAGTATCACTTCTAAGTTCGTACATAAGGACGCATATATTTCTCTGTTCAAATTCTAATAGAGCCTGCTTTTCGAAGTGACCCCACCTGGCGGAAGAGATACGGCGGCCGGTATTGGAAGGGGACCGGGTTGAAGTTTCTATTCCTGTTGGGCCCCTCGGGCCGCCTCTCGCCGTCTTTGCCCTCTGAGTTGTCCGCCCGCCTGGCGTTGTAGGGGGCGCTGGGCTTCTCCGCCTGCCTGTTCTCCTGCTCGCCCCTCTCCTGCCGCTGCCTGTGCCTGTTCTGCGGCTCGTGCCTGTTCTCGTGGCGGTAGTACTGCGCTGGGTACTCGTACGAGCGGCGGCCGTCGGGGTGGTCTGGAGCAGTGGGCAAACGGAGGCAATTATTGAAGGTCTTATGGATTACTCATGTACACTTGAGGTGATTTAATCATAATTATGGCAGTATGAACAAATTGATAATACGACTCAGTTACAATTGAAAGTTAAAACAATCCCTACTTTATATATTGTTAAAAGGAATACAGTTTAGTGGAAAGACGGATGCTAAACATCTAAAAGATTTAATTGCAGCGTTAATACTTCTCCACTAGTAAGAAAAATGAATGTACCAACAACAAATAGTACGTGTTAATTTTACACTTTGAATTTTGTTTTTCCCCTGACTAACCCTCCAGAAGTGTCCATTGATAGTTGAGATGTCGATCATGTTTCGCAAATGTTCATTGTAATTGTCGTATCGTTAATGGGATGAACGGCAGAGGGACGACGACAGAACATAAATACTCAACTTTTTGCTATAGCGCACTGATTAATTAGATAATGACACGTTTATAAAAGGCATGGGCGAACGTGCACTCATATACGAAAGTTAGAGTAAAGAAATATTGTATGTGACAGCCGTGATAGCATAGTATCCGGGCGCTCGCGTTTCATTCAAAATACTCGAGCAACCCAATAATATTGTTCATTGCAATTTTAAGAGCTAACTTATCACGTGCTCAGCGGTGAAGGAATACATCATGATTTCGAAGATATGTCGCACGGTGGAACTAGTGGAGTATGATATTTTATACAACAGATATGTCGTTAACGCGTCCGGAGCGAAGCCATGAAAATGTCCCAATTGGGACAATTTCGTGGCAAACAAAGAAAGAGATAGCAAATAGGCTTAATACGTGGACGACAAAGACGGATGCACCTCGAGATTTAAAGCTAACGTGACACTTGTCGTCCTCTTTTTTTAATTGTTTTAATAATGCTATCCTTTTTATACCATTCGACATGTGTGAGAAAGTTATGATGAACGAAACGTGTGAATTTGTGCTGTCACTCACTCTGTTTGTAAATAACTTTCGGCCGGTGATTTTGTTTGCAAATAACATATCTGTAGTATAAAATATTATCTTGTATTAGTATTTGCTTTACAAGAGACACTCACATGTACTCCTCGCCTGCATGCTCCTTATGGAGTTGACGATGGCACGAGCTGCCGAGCTCAGCTGTGTTTCGTCGTTTGGCGTCCGTCTGTTGGGCAATAGCATCTATTGAAGTCACATCAATATGCACCAGTTATTCCTTAGAATGCAATTATAGCTTTAGGCCAATCTGATCAAAATGTGGTTATTTTGAAGGGTTTTCAAGTTAGCGCTCAAGAGAACATTTTAATATTACTAATACGAACTTGAATCCCGACTGAGTCAAACGTTCGCATTCTGGACTGCGAAATTCAAATTATCTCTCCAATTAGGGCCGAGGCTTGAATCATCAATATCGAAAGTTTTTTTGTAGTGAGGCCTTGTGAGGGGAAAGGCCTCATTATTTCACATCGATACAATTCAACATCGCGATACGAAGAGTATTGTTAAATAAAAAGCTAAAATCGTTAAAAGAATAGTGTGTATGTATGTTCGCCATGCCCACCTACCTAGTTCCCGCTTGCATTGAGACTAGATACGTACTGACATAATAATCTATGATTACAGTATCCATGCTTCCCGGGAACTTGCGTTCCATAAAACTATTTATTATTACTAGGTACTCACGCGACGAGCCTGCCGTTGAAGTGATTGGCGGCGGGGTAGTTGCCGAGTATGCCGTTGCCGCTGTTGCGGCGGCGCCACTCGTCGCGGCGTTGCCCCCTCTCCCTCTCCCTGTCGCCGTCCCGCTCGCGCGTGTTCAACTGCGCCATCTGCTCCTTGATCTGCTGTATCTTGGCGGCAATCTCGGTGCCCGCGCTCGGCTCGCGCGCCTCCGGCGACCTCTGCGGCCTCTCGGGGGTGCCCCGCGCGGAGGCGCCCGCCGGCTGCGGCGGCCTCTGCTCGGCGGCGGCCCGCCTCTGCGCCTCCGACGGCCTCTCCGCCACCGGGTACACCGGCTGGCACAGCGGGTACGGCTGCTGCAGCACCTGCTGCATAATATGATTTTTTTTTTAAATGTGAAAAGTTGCCAAGCGAGCAGACGGCTCACCCGATGTTAAGTGAATACCGCGTTAACACCGCGTTAGCTGGAGCCCGTTTTGAAAATTGGGCTCCAGCTACCTCACTCACCAGATGAAAGCGAAAGTATTATACTTTTCACTTTACGCCGGTCTTCTGTGGGGTCGTTGTACTTACCCGGACGAGTTACTACTTTTTACTAACTTTTTTATTGTGATTCTTCTTAATGACCACTATTAGTTTTCGACTAAGAGCTTTTCATTCATGGTCACTTTTTGGTAATTTAAATTTTTATGTGTTAATGTCATTAATAAGCCTTTTAATGCGGTATGGTACTGATTACTATTGACTGACTATTAATTTTCCTAAAAGACATATCGAAATTATTCTCGTCAAATTCGAGTTGAGTTCGTTAAATCCTATCGACTGGACGAGACTGGTATTGGCTATTTAGCCCATCCTAGACGTGAGAACATTCGGTTCGGCTGCACTTATTAGTATAGTATAAGGTGTACCCTTTAAGAGAAATGTCAAACGAGCGAATTTTCTATCGAGGATAGGTACGATTAGGTATCAGCGTACCGGTGGATAGACGACGTTGTACTGTGGGTACACGTTGGGGTACACGACCGGGTACAGCTCTTGGACCAGCAGCTTCGGCGGGGCCACCGATGGAACCGCCCACGGAACTGTCTCTTGATACTGCTGCTTGGATCAAAAACAAGATCTATAGTGACAAACGTGAAAAATAAAAAAAAAAGGAATTCAATAAATTGCAACATATGGAATAATTCTTACTACGGATTAAAAAGTTGGAATTTTTGAGTGTTCCGCGCCACCCCTCATTAGGTTAGGCATACGACGACGAGAAAAAGAACAATATAGGTTTCTATAATATTTGTGCTATCTTAGTTTTATCTGGCCATTTAAGTTCGTGGATTATTTTGTAATGTTAATTCATATTTGGAACTAAATATATTATATTGTTATAATTATTATAGAATGCAATACTAACTCCTACTGGGTAGTGGGGAATCTGCTGTGGCAATATCACGTTGCTTACGGGATACTGCGGCACTTCCACTGGCGCGTACGACACGTTGTACCTGCGGAAAAGGGCAGAAAAAAAAATTATCGCCCGAATCATTGTTTCTGTTATATTTTTTTTTCATACAATGTAAAGAACATAAACGGTAAGATTTAATATTTAGTGAACTCAATTTACTCTTGCTATAAGACGTTACTGTTAAGACTCTTTTTTACGAAACTCAAAAGAAGAAGAAATACAATTCTTTACTTCGGGAGTCAAAATGCTAAGCTAAAAAGTTGATTACCACGCCGACGAAAATGTAAACGTATATTTTAGACGTGATCTATAATTTTACGATAATTTATTATCACGTTCAAAACTTTCATACTGTGCATGCCATTTATACAGGACTGTCATCGTTTTAGGCTTTGTCGTCGCGTGCCCATAACGCAAACTCCTGGGAAATCCCCTTCGCGATCTGGTGCATCCCCCATGTAGCTGGCCGAATACAAGACTGGTGGTGGGTGGTGGTGATCAGGGTGGTGATGGGGTCCATACCCTCGATGCTGGTGCTGGAGAGTCGGGTCACAGGCGCCAACGCAACCGCCACACGCTGCGCTGATTTCCGCCGCGTACGGGTAGCTTGGGTCTGAAAATAAAGATGCTCTAAGTCCGAGTTCAGTTTTAACGACTGTATGGCGTTGTGCGGAAAATCGAACGGATATTTACGTTACAAACTTTTTAATAGTGGTAGGTCTTCACTGTAGCATGAATGGGGGGTCCATCCTGAGAAGTGCAGTAGTAGATGCCCTCTTTATTGAAAGGTCGCAACGCATCGCGTTTATCACTTAACATCAGGGTGTTGCTTGCCTCCTTATCACATAAAAAAAAAACTATCAATGACGTAAAGTTGTTGAAATAAACCTCCTTCACGTAAACCAAAATAAACCTCGCCTAAACCTACTTCACTAAGTACTGTGTATTGTCTATAACGGGGGGGGGGGGGGGGGGGATATGATATGTAGAGATGGTTTCAAACAAATCAAATGACCTATACGGAAGGTGGTGTCATTGTTGTGCGGTGAAGCGGCGAGCTGCTTCGTCTCATCGGGCTGTTGCTGCATCATTTGCTGATATACGGGCTGCATAGGAGCGTCCTAGAACAAAAGCGACCATTAGGAATATCAGTATCCGTATCCAGCAATCGTTTTCTCCTCGCTATTATATTATTTCGCTTTGAATCGTTAATGAAATATGTGCATACAGTTAATTAATACAAAAAATTAATAAAGACACAAAACTGCTTAATGTCGAACTCACCAAACGACAAGGGTTGACGAACGGGAACCCTTGCGCCATCGGCGAGGGGTACATAACGTTGGTAATCGACATTGAGCCTGAAACAAAGTTCACATTATGGACAAAATTATATACATATGTACAATACGCTGCACAAAACAACTACTAAAAATATACACCGAAGTGCTTTAGTTGGTCTATCCATTTTACACACCGCAATATATCGATCGGTATGCTTTTGCTCAAATATCCCTAATAATAATCCCTACTAATATTATAAATGTGAATGAATGAAAAAATCAACTGTCTAACTATCACTGTTCATGATGGACTCACGGACAGACAGAGGGACGGACAGACAGACAGACAGTGGAGTCTTAGTCATAGGGTCCCGTTTTTCACTTTGGGTACGGTACCGTAAAAATAATAAGAAAGCTAATGTATTTCGATTGTTAAACTCACGCATATTTGGGTCCTGTATGGGTACGGGTGTGACTTTGGCCTGCAGCATCACGTTGTGTAGGCTCGCCATGTCGGCCTGCACGTACGCCGGGTTGGGGATGGCCTGCGGCGGTGACGTCACCTGTTACGTCACAAACCTTTAGTACACCATTTTATACGAGGGGGTGATTGTGTAAGGCCTAAGGAATACTTTTACGTTAAATCCGACTTGCTGGCTGTTTTCACTTTCAATCTAGGGACTGTGTGAAGCTCCATCGCACACAGAGCGTAAGAAAAGCTGCCAGTTTTCATTGCTTTGATTTAGAACGAATTATGCGTTGCTATAGCCGGGCCTTTAGTAATCTTCAAATACCAAACGAAACGTCAATGCCGTGTTCACATGAGTCGTTTAAGCACTAGCAGAAGCTCATATACAGTTCAATGACAATTAAATAAATAAACTTTATTTTTCTGTGTCTAATCCTTTGCACGATTTAAAGATGGAAATCATTTAAACAGGTAAAGCCAATTTTTACAAGAGCCTTATTGGCACACTTATATATTTATACATTTAAATTTACTATTGCATTACACATAAATGCAACCATTACAAATTTTTGAAATTCTCCCAAGTTATAGCACAACGCAGTGAACGGTGATAATATATTGCCGTTTCGTTCAAGCCCCAGGCTACGTATCTTTCTGCCTTGCTCCCACTATTCATTGATATAGTTGCGAAAAATTTCATTATTGTGTGTGTACTTTAAAACTTAATGTAACCTTTCTAAATAATAAATTTGCAAAATGTAAGAAAATGTGAATATAGCATATCGAGGATTACCTCCTCCGTCCTGTAGCCTTGCATGTAGGGCTGCACCAAATACTGAGCGACCTCCTGGCGGCCCTCTTGACAGAGCCTGTTCGCCAGCCGGTGGGCCTGCAGCTCCTGGTTCCTGTGGCTGGCCTGCTCCAACGCCCTCTGCTGCTCCAAAGAGGGGGTCCGGTGGCTCGGCGAGCCATTGTAACGTGGACTCTCGTACACCGGCCTCTGGCTGGCCTCGTGGGTCCTCTGCGCTGGCTCGTAGGCGCTACGTTGCGCTTCGTAGTGGTTCCGCTGGCCCTCGTAGGGGTTACGCTGCGCCTCGTAGCGGTTCTCGGGCTCGTAGGCTTTTTGGGCTGGGCGCTCCTCGGGCTCCGGGGCTGGCTTGGCCGGCTGGGCTGCGCTGGCGGCTGGGGCGGGCTCGACACGCGCCTTGACCGGGCTTTGGGGCATCGAGTCGGGCTTCTGTTCCGGCTGGACTGGTGCCTGCGGACGACGATCTTTTTTGTTAGCATTACGTATACGTGTGTTAGCTTTGAGTCCTAAATATAAAATATGCCTTACTGCAATAGAAATGAAAAACTAGTTTAAAAAGCCCATTAAAAATCACAGAATTGATAAACTTAAGTACTAATAAAACTTATGACTAATTTCAATTTTACTGCTAGTCTCCACACGCAAGATCAAACTTGAATTGAAGAACGAAATCAGCCGCTTTACTTAGTGTGTACACTGTCTGGGCACAGTATCCGGAATACGCACGTTCGTATTCCACAGCGCCGAAAATTTTTCTACAAAAAATTCACCTTCTAATAATAATAATACTTATGTTGATACACTTGACATGAGTGTGTACAGGAACTAAGCAGAGTTTGTGTCTCAAGATATTAACGCAGATAAAAGTGGGGTTCACGACCTAAAAAAATATATTAAGGAATTACAAAACTCAATTTGCATACAATATTTAGTGCCTTTTCATTGGAGGTTTTGTTGCAGGGCTCCTGTCTTCGACATTCGCAGCAACATTTGGTGCGACAATCTTCGGCGGGCTGACACTCGCATTCTGAAAAATATTCAATACAAAAATTAGTCGCTGGGAAAACTCAAGCTCTCATACTACCTTAACATTAAAAAGGACACGGGTTCCTAGTTAAATAATTGGAAATAGTTTCTAACTTTCACCCCTTTCGTGACAATGAATGCCGCAGTCCTCGAAAAGTTGGGAGCTTCTGTTTATTTCAAAGGGTTGCTTCTGGACTGACCACTCCATAGCTTCTGGACAATCAGACATACCGTAGATTTTAAATGAACGTAATGTTCACGAACATATCGTGGCCTCTACCGCTATTGCGAATAATCATGGCGAAAACTGATATTGAATGCATCTGCTTTTATATTGTTGATTAAGAACGTAAGGTTTGAATTAAAAATTGTTAATAAGATTTTTGTTACGGTAAAATTTTATGTAGGCACGACAGATAATAAACATGTAAATACACTTTGTGTGAAGCTTACCATTGTCCATAAAAGAGTGTTGTTTCTCTAATCTGCCTCGCCTCTTCTCGTTACTGGCGTCGGCCTGTAAATAATAAAAAAATATACATGAATAATCGACGGATGATAAATATGTTACTGAATATTCGATACAAATATTAGACAAATGACTTGATTAGATTATATTATCCTTCAGATAGTGATTAACCACAAAACTTTTTTATGTGAAAAGGTGGCAAACGAGCTGGCTGTTGACCAGATGTTAAGTGAAAACCTCCGCCCATTCACATTTGGAACACCGACATGTGACGTAATTGTTTATAATCACTACATAGAATAAAATAAATCGTCCCGTTGTCTGTCTTCCCTATGTATGCTTAGATCTTTAAAACTACGCAAGGGATCTTGATGCGGTTTTTTTTATACTAGATAGAGTGATTCAAGATTCCTCTTGAATCACTGGTGCGATGTATTACAAATACATAAACCTTCCGGTTTATATGCACTACCGCACTTTCGCAACCGTGCGAAGCCGGGGCCGGTCGCTAGTTATTGTATATATAAGAGTAACTGGTTACCTTGAATTGGTCATTCTGCAGGTAAACGGTAGCGTCTTGAAGCACTGGAGGATTGGCGGGGTCGAAGTGGTACACGCTGCCATCGGGGTTGGTCAGCGGCCGGCCGGTCTGGGGAACGATTGTATTGTACTTTGTGTCGAAGGATTTGGGCGGTAAGTACCAACGACCATTGCGATCTAGAAAGATCTATTGTAATCTTCCCTTCGAAAGCATTGTCCTCTTACTGTAGGATAACAATATTCTGGGTTGGAAATTTCACGTTTTTTTTTTTTAATGCGAAAAGTTGTCAAACGAGCAGACGGTTCACCTGATGTTAAGTGAATACCGCCGCCCATGGACATCTGCCACACCCGAGGGTTGCAGATGCGTTGACAACCTTTTGAAAATTGGGCTCCGGCTACCTCACTCACCAGTCGAAACGCGAAAGTATTTGTCATACTTCCACTTTACGCTGATCTTCTGTGAGGTCGTGGTACTTACCCGGACGGGCCTGCCCATTCGTGCAACAGCCGAAGCTGCTGCGTGGCCCTACCACCGTAGAGGACGTGGACATTGGTGTCAGATCCGAAACAATTATCTAAGGTCACAAATACTTACCCTTTGTGGGATACGAACCTACTAAAATTATGTTCATTTTGTCCCTCATACACTAGCTATCCGGCCTTCCTGCCATTCTAATTGAGGGCTAGTTTACTAACGTACGAAAATTATGATCATTTTGTCAATGATACACTGGCTAGCCGGATACAGCCTCCCTGCCATTCTAAGTGTATTAACAAAATTATTGACCATCGTGTTGACGAAAAGTATAAGGCATCATCGATTAAATCGTTTACAGAGACATGTTAATTAAATATTTTATAATTACGAATTAAAAGAAATACCTGTGGGTGGATGACCAGCGCCCCCGGTGGAACTGAGGAGAGGTCTGTCACCGCCCACACTACAGCGCCACATTCGACTCCCGGTTCAGGACTAGCGCCACCTGAATAGTACGAAAAATATTAAATGAAAGTTTTGCTAAATTCATATTATAAGTTTTATAAGTCATAAAACGATTTATGGAACGTACCACAATTACCGATCCCCCATTTGTATATATTATCTATATACAAATTACCGGCAAATCAAATAATTGATATAATAAGTACAAACCAGTTGCCCTTGGCTATTTTCTCATAGTAGACACCGAATGGTGTAATGGTAACGTGAAAGTAAACAACATTTATCACTGAAAGTTATTTTACATTCAGAAGTGAAGTAGAAAGAAAATATTACATACAATAATATCGTAAAAATTCGATATTATTGTATGTAATATTTTATCTTTCATATTATGTTACGCTTTCAAACAAATTTAGCGAAGACATTTAGCCACAAAGGTTAGTTAAGAATACAAAATGTAATCCATTAAGCACTTACCCGTGGGTGACGGTGTTACAGAATCTGTGCTCCTCAAACTGAGAGTCTTGTAACCAGAACTGGAAGGGGACAAACGCCAACTGCTCGACGCTAGGTCGCCTTTTCGAATATAAATAATTACATAAAAAACACGAAGAACATAAAAGATGTTTGAGATAGAGAAAGACAGAGCGCGGGGGTGAGGGCGTGCGAAGGACATAAAGACGGGCATGAGGGTGAGAGATAGGAGAAATACAGAAGAGATAGAGAAAGAGAGAGGGTGGGAAAGACAAAGGGGGGGCATGAGGGAGAGGGGTAAGAGTAAGATAGATGAGATAGAGAAAGAGAAAGCGCGTCAGAGGTCGTGTGAAAGACATAAATGTGGCATGATGGAGAAAGATAGATGAGATAGGGAAAGACAGAACGAGGGGCAGCACATAAAGGGGCGTGAGGGAGAATATTAGGAAAAAGATGGAGAGAAGAGACAAGATAGAGAAAGAGATAGCGTGAGAAACAGCGGAGACGCTAACCTTGCTTGCTGAGCAGGCGCTGCTGCGGCGCGTCGGCCGCGTAGCCGCCGAAGCTGTGGCTCTTGGAGACGGCGCCTCGGGCCCTTGGAACATCGCAGCCGCTCCTCTCCAGCGACTGCACCTGGAAAGAGGTCAAAAGTGTGGTTTCTTACTATTCATCATCTGAAATGTGTTATATAGCTAAATAAAAGGTGAACGCGGTTTCTTTATTATTCATCATTTGAAATGTGATAGCATATTATTTAGATAAATAAGCAAAAAGTTTCGGCATTGCAAGATTCGAACCTGTCTTCCGGTTTTATACTGTAGTACGTGCATGCGCACTAGATGACTATATACACGGTGGCTTTTCTAAAGGAGCCCAAGTTCACACAGGATGTTCAGAATCGGTAGTATAATCGTTTATTGAAATAAAAACAATATTTTTTTTTTTCAAAAAAAAAATTGCCATTCCATTCCCTAAAAAACAGAACTTGTTGACAATGCGGTTGTCATTCATAAATACGTCGTATACTTTTGAAACGAACTTGTGTGCGTGTTGGTTATGAATGATCACGCGTAAAATAAATGAGTTGCCCATAAATCACGGACTTTTTGGGATAAGTTCAACTGAATGTATTTAATTAATTACGAGTGATTTTAAATATTAATCATTTTTATTTAACATTATTTATGTCTAGAATTTAATTTTAAAAAATGCATGCATGTTTTTCTATGAATGCATGCTTTTCTATGAAAAGCCTCACTGTATACGCTATGGCATTACTAAAAACGCAATAAAGAACGTAGATAAAACTAGAGACTTTCACGCCGTGCGGTCATTGACCGCTTGTCTCAGTGGGTAGCGTCTGCAGGCGAAACCGGAAGACGTATGTTTTAGGATCACGCAGCGCCGAAAGTTTTTATTTATTTTAGTGCAGAGACTAGCACTAGCATAACAAATAATCCCAATTTTTTTATGTTTTAGCATAATGTTTAAGACTACAGATTCTGCCACTTTCATTTTGGAATTTAGTAGTAGGAAATAGTGATAAATAAAAACAACACTACTTCAATACCATAATTTTATGTAAATTTTGTTAAACCCTTGAATACATAAGGTCCATCTTGTATAGTTTGCATAGTACAATTTATGAATCCGAAACTCACTTTGATAAGCTTGTTCCGCCCTTCGGATGTCAGCAGCTTCACGGGCCCCGTGCTCAGCCAAGGCCATTGCGATTCGTCTTGAGCGCAGTTGTCCTGTAAACACCAATGCTTTTTAACCGTGGGGCCACGATATGTGACCTAATTTTTTTAATGTTCAGTGTCAGCCTCTGCACATAAGATGGTGAAACTTATTTTGCTTTTTTTCTGCTTTTTAATCAGCAGTACAAATTAAAAGTTACAATACAAACTCTGTTTAATTTCTTGTTGATCGTCATATCTACTATAATGCTGTATAAAAAATTCGTTCAGCGTCAAAAACGAAAGCCTTACCGAGCTGAAGATGCGTCTACGCACACGCTCGTAGTCGCGTTCGCGCTGCTCGAGCGATTTGCTGCGGACCGTTCCGGGGCCGGCGCCGCCCGCCTCCTCGCCCGCCGCCGCAGACCGCTTCAAAATCGACCTTAGCACGATAACAATAAGAGTCACTATTGAATGAAACAGCAGAAGCAGATGCTTTGCAAAGCTTTTAGCTTCGTTGCAAAAGAGATCTAAGCACACCAATCATAAGGGTCAATATTGACTGACACAGTAGACGCAGTTGCTAAATCATTAGTTTCGCTTCAAAATAGATCTAAGCACAACGTTCGTAAGTGTCAATATTGACTGACACAGAAGTCACAGTTGCTAACACAGTTTCGAAATAGACCTAAGCTCAGCGATCATAAGGGTCAATATTGACCGACAAATCATGCGCAGGCCGTGGATTCGATTCCCACACGAAGAATTATTAGTGACACCGTAGATAACTCGGAGTATAGTCTCAGATCTGGTTGTTTGTACCCAAGGACGGTTGAAATTTGAGTGGATTTTCTGCAACACCGCCCATGGACAATTGCACCACCCGTAGGGTTGTAGATGCGTTGCCAATTTTTAATAAAGGCTAAAAGAACGGCTTGATAAATTTTTCCATAAAATGCGACAAGTTCCTTACTCTAATGCATTTAAACTAAATACACATAAATTGAACATTGGTGAAATGTTTGGCTTACTTGGCGAGCGTCTCGTCGCGTCTATGCTGGGGGCTGCACGGAAAGATGGTGGTGCACCAGTCCTTGAAACTTGTGCATGGTATCCGACCACCGCTAGTACCTGGAAATGTTTTATTATAAATATTTGCTTATAGTATAGTTTTTTTGTTAAATGACAGACAGGCGGTCTGTTCCGTGACTATGAATGCTGGAAAGGTTTAAAAAAAGGTTTCGGTGTGATCCCGGCACATCACTAACTGCACGTAGAATAATGCAACTTTAATTTGCGGTTTGAACATAAATTGTGTGCATTACTAATGCTTTTTGCTACTGAAAAAGATTTAGTTTTAATCCGCAAAGGAAAAAAAGCTTTTTCGTTTGCGGATTTTTTTTAATAAAAGTAAACATAAGTAACAGCCTATATATGTCCCACTGCTGAGCAAATGCCTACTCCATACAGAGGGTATTAGGGGTTCACGGCCCCACATATTTTCATACAAATTTCCATATTTAATAAAAATTTATATATTCAAAGACAGTGTCTGAGAAATGCTTCAACTATTCACTCAAATTCACTTAAATGACGCGTAATTTTTTTTTGTGAATAACTGTTTTTATGCAATTGAAAAAATCGATTCGCGCTATTTATAACAAACACTAGCAATCAATTGTTCCTCCAAAAGAAGACCACTTGCGCTCACCCATTTTGGAGACCATCACGGAGGTCTTGTTGGTTTGGTCGAGCTGGTGGGTCAGCTGGAACAGCTGCGCGCAACGGTGCACCAGCATCCGGCCGTATGACGTCATCACCGGGAAGCGCACTATGCAACGACTGCGGAAAAAAAACACATTAAAAACTTTTGAAGTTTTAATTATTTTGACATAGTTTTCATACTACTCAGTCTCCAGTTCAACCGGAATTAAGTTTAAAATCAAATTTAAACCTAACAGACATTAGGCACGAAAGCTTATGTATGTGTTCGTTCTCTTTCCTTACCACAATTGCTGAATTTAAACAAAATTTAGAACTGATTCGTATTAGCAAAAAGTAAAGTTTGTATACTAATGGGACATTAGTAGTTTAATTAACTATTGTTATATCGGAAAAAACCACAGAAAATCCAGAATAAATATATATACGTTAATATATATTATTTCGCCGCCTTAGATTTTTAGATTTCAACTTACCCGGTGTCGTTAACTAGATTGTGTAGCTCCTTCTCAATCTTCAGCAATGTCAATCTATCGCGTGGATTTTTATTAAGCGTTTCCTTAATGAAGTCCACTAGTTCAGGCCCAGTGGGTTCCGCCTTATCATCTGAAACGATAAAAAAAATATAGTAAAAATGTGCACAAACAAAAAGCTTAACTTTTTGTTTAAAAAAAAGAAGCAGTCTTTTTTTTTTAAGCATGCAATAATGCAATTTTTCTCATTTATAATAAATGATTATCATTTTTATATGTAAAAAAATAAAGATACATTTTCATTGGGTACAGAGCTAACCAATGAACTAAATCCACATAGTAATAAAAGAGAATGAATAGTTAATAATTGTTAGCTATAATCTTTATGTTTACCACCTGAAATATAGATGGGAGGCTAAAATGTCTTTTAAGAAAAGCAGAAAATACGATAACAGGTAAGTAGTAATATACTTAAAAAACTCATATATTTTCTGCAGAAAGGTCTTAAATATAGGCACATCAGACAGAATATCAATGAACACTTACCCGAATCTGTCCTACTTAAAGTATTCTTTGGTTTTTCCTTTCGCTCTGGGCATCTGAAATTAATGCAAGAACAATACATTTATTTTTATAAAACAAATGATTAAGCAAATAATTGTTTGCAACATTATTGCAGACAATTGTTTACTTAAAAATTGGTCCTTCGCGCCGGATGCGTATAAAACACATCTGTTAGATACCATATTACTCCCTTTTTAAATGAATGCTCGAACAAATTGAAGTTATAAGTTGCTATATATTGAGACAATTTGGGTTTCAATAAAGCCGTAACTCGATATGAAGAGACCATCACAAAAACAATTCGTAATATTTAAATGACTCACCTGCAGTAGAACGTGTCGTCTACGTCGACACTGCCAGATTGCTTCGAGCCTTCTTTTGGGCTAGCTGTGAGACAAAACGTCAGTTATTCACATGTGCTATAAAAGAAAACGTTACGTACTTTAACTGTAATTTTCTTTATAAGGAAATTATCGGCTACCCGCAAAACAATCATATTCTTTGAAAATTATTGATTTTATTTATTTAAGTTTCTTCTTGTTTGACCCCGCAGTAATAATATAGTAGGTATAAGTCAATACAGATACAACCAGACATAACAAGCTCCGTCACGAGCAAATATATAGTCTTTATTTTGGTTTCTATAAGCGTGAGCATGACGTATTAGTTTTTTTCTGCATCATCACAAACTAGAGGTCTACTGGTCCCTAGTGACTACATCCGTACAATAGATATTCGTGACGTTCTTACATCCCAGACTGCGAATCGTTTGATTCGTCGTTTGATGTCTTCAAATCCTCCGTAGACGACAAACACGTTATCTATCTTAGGGTCCATCCAACTCATGGAAACTAGCGTTTCGACGGGTTCGGTAAATAAATAAACAAATTCCTATTTACCAATCTGCTCCGAGTCGGAACAGTCAGGGCACTCGTCCGAGCAGACGATGCCGGAATCCTGTTTCGACGGGCAGATGGGTTTGCGCCGGCGGCCTCTGTAATGGAAATTGTAGCGTAAGCTATTACCATTTGCAAATACGAGTCGAGACTTTGTTTATGATAGGCTTGTAACAAATTAAACAAAGAGGTGTTAATTGTAGTCGACGTCACAGCTATGTTGCGGTCACTAACACTTAAGTCACTATTTTTCCGACGATAGCACAAATTTATTCAAAGAAGTGTAAATATAAATGTAATGTGTGGTAATACCGACTCATATCTTTTGGTGTTACCACACCATTGTATGTAAGTAATTATTTATTTTTGGTAGATAGCTGTCTACCGTACATGAAAAAGAATTTTAAGATTGAATCTATTGCTGAAATGTTCACCTCTGAAGGGTGGGAAGTGTTAAATACGATATTCATTCAAAACGACAACCCAACGCTGAGATATATAACCTATCATGAGATTGTATTTCTTTAAGATGGTTCTTCATTACTTATATAACCCTCGTACGTCAGGCACATACGGCTCCGACTTCCAGCCCTCGTGGACCGAAACTGACATAAGCGAGCATAGGAGCATAGATAACAAAAGCGTTGTTGCATTCGCGACGATAACGTCACAGGGGATCATCTGCAGTGATGGCAGATCCCACGGGCACGTCAAAGAGGATATACGGCTCCGACGATTAGCTCTCGTGGAGCACAACAATATAGCGCGGTTGCATTCGCGACGATGACATCACTGGGCGTCACTTCCAGTGGAGGCAGACCCCACGGCTACGACGTTGAGCTTTGGTGGAGCAAAACTGTCACATAAGCGTTATTGCACGCGCACGATGACGTCACAGGGAGATCACCTGCAGTGGGGGCAGACCCCGCAGGCGCCGCAGACGCAGGCGACGCGCGGATTGTTCGAGAGCAGGTCGCGCGAAGACTCAGAGTGGTGGCGGTTCCCGAGCCAAAGCTGGGTGCGCTGACGTTGCTCGAGGCTGGACTCCGACTCCCAGCCGCCGTGCGTTATCTGCGGTCAGAATGGACGTGTTCATTTCTGTGTTTGTGGAGACCAAGACCCTAACTGGTTATGGGCAGTGACCCTAAATTACAAATCCTGAAGAAAAAAATTACTTCTGGGCTACAGCTGAAATTGACCACGTTTCGCTGTGGCGCAGTGGGTAGTGTACCTGCCTCCTACGCTAGATGGTGTGGGTGCGATCCCCACTACTGGAAAAATAATGTGTGATGAACAATAGTGTTTTTCTGGTATCTGTGTGTTAATATAGGTATATTTATTTATTTACAAAAGAAAAGTATGTTTAAGTGTGTTTATCAGTTATTTAGAACCCATAGTACAAGCGTTGTTTAGTTTGGGACCACAGAAAGTTGTGTAAAAATATATCCTTATAGTATTTATTTATAATTATCATTGGAATTGTGGAATAAAAAGTATATAAAAACATTGTCCTGTGCAATTACTATGTTGTGGAGAATTATGCAGTCAATCCATAGGTTAGTTATTGAGTAACATACGGAAACTATTTTTTTATATATCAAAAAGATTTCTCAAACGTGTTTTTTGGCGGTATCTTCATCAAATTTAATGATTCGTACACCACTGTAAAACTAACATTTGCCGCTATTGACGAAAAATAGAATAAAATCAAAATTTTCCAAAAAAAATTTCCCTTTAAAAACGAGATCTTTAGTGAGGTCATTGATCTTCCCCGGACGTGCCTGTCCATTCAACATTGCAACAGCGAAATTTGTTGCAAATATGATATGATAGAAAAGGGCAAGTATGCGTTACTAGAACTTGGGTTGCCTGAGTAGTCAGAATTAGTAACGCGCGCTCGGACGCTGAGCTCAAATCAATCCCGGTGCCACACGAAATTTTTAACTAAATTATCGCGTGCTTGGCGGTGGAGGAAAAAATTGTGGGGAAACATGAATATTTTCAAAATAGTGATTAAAAAAATCTCGAAGACATGCGAAATCTGCAGTGTGGTCGCGTAGTTGACGATCTCAAATACCATTGTTTCAGAGCACGGCTCTTTGCTCGGCAGTGGAACATATATTACGAGAACATATAGGCTATTTTTATGTGCTACTTTTATGTGAGTGTAACGATCAGGTCACCCGTATCTTTGCTCGGGAGTGGAACATAATTACATTACGAGAATATATAGGCTATTTCACTTTACGAGTGTAACGAGCAGGTCACCTGTATCTCGACCGGCCGCCTCTTGCCGTCTTCGTCCCTCCTCTCGCCGGAGCTCGCGTCGCTGGCGTGGCTGGACGCGTCGCTCGCGTTGCCATTGCCGTTGCCATTGCCATTGCCATTGCCGCTGGCGCGCGCGCTAAGCTCCGCCTTTGCGCCCTTCGCCTGGTCCGGGGAATAGGAGGCCGGGGAGGCGGTGCGGGGCGGGGACGCGGCCTCGCGTATCGCCTGGCTGCGCACCAGCTGCTTCGTCTTGAAGCTCTGGGAACGCCGGACGCTGTTATGCTGCGGTTTGTACGGATAATTAGCGGCGGGTGAGCGTGCACGGATGTCAAAGGCCGCTGCCCGCGGGATATTAAAACGGAGGCAGCTAGCCGTCTGTTGCTCTCTCTGTCACACTTACGGGTCCAAAGGGGAGGCACAGTTTCGCCTCCACTATGCACTCCCCTCATTAGACTTGAGATCGCAATAGGCGGCGTCTTGCTTTCACGTTCTACTTCTCCGCCGTCAGCGAGCCTTTGACATAATTATAGGTAGTTGTGATTGGTGCTATATTTTTTGTCTCTTTATCTTAATTATATTTTTAGGATTTTAATATTATACTAAATATACAGGGAGGCTTTTCTAAGTGTATCATAAATAATGTTATATAAAAAATGAAAAATATTTAATTAATTAATTAAATACATTCATTTGAAGTTATCTCAAAAAGTGCGTGATTTATGGGCTACTCATTTATTTTACGCGCGATCATTCATAACTAACACGCACACATGTTCGTTTCAAAAGTATACGACGCATGACCGCATTGTCAACAAGTTCTGTTTTTTAGCGAAAAGAATGGCAATTTTCTGAAAAAAAAAAAAAGTTTTTATTTCAATAAACGATTATACTACCGAGTCTGAACCTTCTGTGTGAATTTGGGCACCTCTAGAAAAACCAACCTGTATATAATTTTAGGTCGAAGGCCTAATCGTCCTAGACATAGAGATGCCCGTGTAATATTAGGATAGAAAAACAGACACGGACAAATCGTTAAATTCCTTTGCAGAGTGGTGGTAAGAGTGCGGAACTCCTATTAAATTCAACTAATCTACAATTACCCGACTCCTGGTCAGCTGTCCCCCATCTTCGATCGAGCAAATCTTTTCGACCTCAGTGTTCTCCATTGCAATGCTCCCTGAAATGTCATTTAAGTTAAAGTTCACCTAGTATCGTAACAAAATGCGAAAGTAAAACTATTAAGTAAAAAATATAGTTGAAATAGAGTCGAAGCGCACAAAGCTCAAGGTGCATGTTTGGGGTTGTTTTTGACCATCATCCTCCTGCCCTTATCCCACCTAGGTGGGGCCGGGACAACATGTGAATCATGCGGTTTATGTATTATATAAGCGGCTATGTATTTATATGTATGCTATATATTTTTAACACGCCTGACGACAACCCTCCTTGGGAAACACAACCCAGACGGTAACGTAAATACTTGTCCCTTGTGAGAATCGAACCCACGATTCCCGGCGACGAAGTGCCTAGGGCTGTTTCTTAAATAGTTGTACAGTTAAGATGGGTGCAGTGAGTCATTTTAAGAGTAAAATCAAATCACTCTAGTTTAATTATATTGTAGCTACATTTGATGTAATTAATAGATTTAAATTTTTGTTAATTACTGAAATTCTGATATGACTCAATGTTAGACAAAGGTTTTCTTCGATAACTAGCATCGCATCGCACAGTTGGTGAACGGAAAAGACCAGATTAATCATAGCCTGATAAATTTTCATTACAATCGGATCGCTACAGTTGACTGAAACAAAGTGCTTTCACATCCGACACTGGTCGGGCGAATACTGGCGAGACGCCAATCTCTCAAAAGTATTATATTCCTCGAACTAATACCAATTCTCGAAGTTCAAACGATATCATAGCCAAAGTTACCGCATTATTTACAAAAGACCGGAAGATCAAGGTTACTGGATTACCTTTAGATAGCGGTTTTGTAAAAACAGGATAAGGTTGATTTTAAACAAATTATGTGGTCATTGACAATGTTTGCCTTTTTTAAAAAAGGGCAACGGCCTCTTCTGCGTAGTGGACATTGTGGCTAAGTGTACCACCAAACGTATCCATGCGGATTTTCGGTATTGGCAGCTTCATATGTCTTTTTTTTTTCGAAGATAAAAATGTGATTATTATAGTGTTATACATTTATAAATACGTTTATTACATGCCTATAATGTTTTCTTTTCGCCGTATATATTAGAATTATTAAATAGCTTATACAATTATTTTATATGAAAGAAAATTAAACTCACCGTTAAAACCTTATTTAGTAAAAGACTCCTCTAAAATTATCGTGTAATTTTAACATCAATACATAATTAGTTTTCGGGGAAATCTACCCTTAAACATTACGTTCAAAAAGGTATTGGACCAACAAAGGTTAAGTACACTACAAACTACGGTTAGAAGGCAACTATTTCTTTTTACTTAGAATCCTCGTCCAAAAAACACTAGTTAAAGCTTCTCAGAAAAAACCTAAAGTCCCCCGGGTCCGGGAAAACGTGGTAACTTCGCTCGGTATATAATGTCCTTATTTAAAGTTCGATATTCGAGGAACACAGGTCCGGTGTTGTAAGCTCGTTGTTTTTCTTTTTTTTATTATGATGTGTCAAACTCTGTTTCTTTATCTGTGGCTCTGCGAACATTGGGCTTTTGAATGTTCTCGAATTGGTTTTCACTCTTGATGGACGGCGCTTGACGGAGATCATTGTTCGGTATCACTGACGGTGATTTTGGATTATTCCAAAACGTGGAGACTTAATTTGCGGGGGGCGGGGTGTGCGGATCCGATTTTATGCGATGTTTCTTCACTATCCTCGAAGCCATATATCTGGAACAAGAGAAATCACTCTTTAATACATTTAACGACAATAAACGATTTATAAACGTAGATATTCCGCTAGTTATGAGCACGGGTCTTTTGGCAGTTATGAGCCCATACTAATGACTCGTCTGGAAGGTGCACCGATCATGCCACCGAGTGCGTCTTTAACTCCCCTCTATCAAGCTCTATAGCTCGATGGAGTGGAGTGTACCTACGTACAAGCTGGCTTTCACCGAAGGGTAGGACAATTTGTGCTCTGCGACGGTAGCGCCTGTTGGAATCCTTGCTCCACTAATTAATTAATTTCTAATAATAGTGATTTATTTAAAATCGGTTGCTAGTGTTATTTCGATAATTTAAAAATAGTGTCCGAAGTTCTAAACACTGAAATGAGGGCAAAAATTTTGTTTTGTTTTTAATTTTTCTATTCTAGAACTGTCTGTCTGACTAACACTATCGCGACAAGCAATGAGTTTGACGAAAGTCAATCAAGTGACCAAATAATATAATAGGTTTCAGGCTTCAAGGCTTTGCAAGAACAATAATTAATGAGAACTCTGTAAGCAATTTATCGGTGCTTTTGGTGAAGCCGCTCATGCTTCTGAATTCGTCATTGGGCACTTGTACTCGAGTATGAACATACACAATAAATTGTACGAGAGTTGTACAAACTGTATCTTGGCACTCCCATCAAATTTATTAACGACATATTTATTATCGACAATTCAATTCGATGGCGTTATAAATCGTTTCGATGTACTTCCTTGAGGTTTTTCTATGTAATTATTATGAGTAGTATTATTTTAATGAACTAATAAATTTTAAGGATTGACAGATTTAACCTAATATTGTGTGATTTTATTTGAAAATGTTATTATTTTAGTTTAATTATAGTTTAACATAGTAAACATATTTCTTAGTAGTTGATATAGAAATACAAATATATTTAATTTGAGTTTAATTTTACATTTGAAATCCTAACTAACTTTTAGTTTTGATTTGAGGCTTTACATTGTTTTCAAACAAAAAGACTATTTTATTTCAGAAGAGACACAATTTTATTTTGGAAAGAGACTATTTTATTACAGAAGTCGAATTTAAACAATTTTTAAAAGGAACTCCTTTAATAAGTCTAAAAGCTAGGCTTAATAATGCCTCCGGCTCGGTAAGGTACAACATTAATTGCATATTTATGCCGGGAAATTAGTTGAATCACATAAAAATTGTACAATGTCAAGCGATAATGAAAACAAATGCTCTATTCCGTCCCTGACCCAGTGCCCTTGCTACAGAACCTGTCAGCCCCTAGACCGTGCCTATGCGTCAGCCCTGATTTATGAACGAATTTTGAGAACCATAAATCCACCATTAGTGGTGAAAGCAAGCAATATGTTCATAAAACCGCCTGGATATGGACAAAGCTTCTGCAAATACATGCGTAATTAGTTAAACTATGTAATTAATAAAGCCAACGCAGTATGGTGAGCATTAATATATTTTATTTTAGTTTATTCGGAAACTTCAAAGTATACCAGTAATTTATCAAAAATACAGTCAGTTAAAATATGTAGCCACCAATAGGGTTGGTTTAGATTTTCATTCACAATGGTGTCCGTGCGATATTGTCAAAATTTAAAGACAATAAAACCTTCTTAAATGTTTAGTTATCATAATATAATAAATCAAATGCATATTCATGTGGCGAAATAAACTCTTGGTTATGAGACAGAAATTCTTGATATATATATATATATATATATATATATATACATCACGCTAATTTTTGGGCACCCTTTCATTTGGCATGATTGTGACGTGCACCAGTTCCACTTAAAAAATTTCAACTTTTACTGCGAATATTAGTCGCTAAGGCAGTGTTAAAGACTGCTTACATCTTATTTTTCAGAAATTTTAATTCTTAATATATATACAAATATGTTAATATACGTAACATTAACAAGCATAGTGAAATCAATTAGGACTCCAGCCAATACTTTAAATTAAATAGCTTCCCATGATAAGTTTTATTTACGTTTTCCTACCTATTAAAACTCCTATGAACAGTGCGACGTTGCCGCCCAGCTTTCTATACTAAGATATAATAAGTTTGTGGATAATTACTATATATGTACAATACAGGTATGCTAGAGTAAATGTGAAGTTTATGGTTATGAAAAATAAAATATGAGTGCAATGTTTATTACGATAGCATCACAAGAGATAGTGTACATGATTTAAAAGTATTTATCTACTTATTTCTAATTTAGAAGTGTATGTTTGGGTAGGAACACATTTAATGATTTAGATATTACAGTTAGTGAAAATAAGTAGTAACTAAGTTAATTGAGGAAATAGCAATGATATTAAATAACTAAATCAAAGTCGAACCAAAGTGGGCTATTTTAAACGAATGTTGCATATTTCACGATTTAAATATATTTTAATTATCTGATATCCGTATAATGTTAAAAAAACACAATCATAACTAATACAATAAAATATACCAAGACAAGCCTTTATAAGTGTGTTAGAAATATAGGAGTATACGGACGTTGCAATATCGTAAATATTTCAAAATAATATTTTTTTGACGTCCTGGGCAGTATACGGACGGAACCTATATAGACGGTAAACGGACGTTGGAAAATCGTAAATTTTTCAAACTAATATTTTTTGAAATTCTAGATGTCAAATGACAAATATTGTGAAACTTTTACGACATTATAACGTCCGTATAACGTCCCGAATCGATCTGAAGACAAACAATTTCATTACAACCGGTCCAGCCGCTTAGGAGGAGTTCAGTACATAGATACACACAAACGCACTGAAGAATTGTATAATATATAAAAAAAATAGTCGGTCAACAAATCGATAATATCGAATTAGTCTTGACAGACAAAGTTAGCTTTCTGAGTGAACAACTTATAGTTTCGTCGGTTTGCTGTTGAGTGACCCTTTCCATTAAAACATAAGCTCGAAACTTAGCTATGGACTGTCGACCTTGCGAAGAGTGAATCATCGGAAATCTTCTTTCCGCAAAATTGTACTCTATCGGTCTGACATACGGTTTAATATTGCAATAAGGTGAATATAGCATGGGTCATCACTATTAGTCTCCGCTGATTTTTGCAGTAGCGAATAAAAGCAATATGGTGTGCTAAGCGTAGGCCTTCTGATGTATATCAGAGATATGAAAAAAAAGTTAGAATCGTTTAACAACTAGCGAAGGATATATTATATTATATGGAACAGAAAAAAATGTAAAGTAAATTTTATTTGCAATCGATTTAATTGTAACAAAGAATTAGTTGGAACAATACAATATAATTACATATTTAACATATTTTTATATATTTTTATGATAATTGCTTTGTCGTCGTTTATTTATATAATAAAAGCGAAAACTCACTGTCAATTACCTATTTTGTTATTAATATTGAACGTATTATAGGACATAGAAAATAAGTCCAATAGAAACATAGTCTATTCTATTTGCACTTTTGCTTGTTAGTTAAATCAAGGATATAATCTCATTAATTAAGGTAAATATAAAATGAAAGAAGCCTTAAGACATTTATTGCAAAATGAGGCTATTTTTTGCATTTAATTTCGATGCCTATACTTTCGTACCAAAACTTTCAGTTTGCACGTATCCGGCTTCGAAGTTACAAGTTGAGCAACTTAAAAATTCCCGTTTCACTTAAAAGGATTCTTTACCAAATAATTCTCGAACAAACTTCAAAGTTTGACGAAGAACCTTCATTAGAATAGAATAGGGTAGTCATTTCCTTATAAAGAATAATATACTTAACTATAGACCCGCCGCAGAATCGCACGGGTGCAATGTATTAAACATATAAACCTTCCTCTTGAAGCACTCTACCTAGTAAAAAAAACCGTATCAAGATCCGTTGCGTACTTTTAAAGATATAAGCATACATAGGGACAGACAGACAGCGGGACGACTTTGTTTTATACTTTGTAATGATCAGCGTTAAACAGGAGCCTACCGCTTGCAATAGTAAAAAAGGCTTTTAATTTTTTTTTTTTTTTTATGGGAAAAAGGCAGCAAACGAGCAGGAGGCTCACCTGATGGTAAGTGATCACCGCCGCCCATGGACATCTGCAACACCCGAGGGCTTACAAATGCGTTGCCGGCCTTTTAGGAATGAGTACGCTCTCTTCTTGAAGGTTCCCAGGTCGTAACGGTTCGGAAAGACCGCCGGCGGCAGCTGGTTCCACAGAGTGGTTGTGCGAGGCAGGAAATGCCTTGAAAATCGCGCTGTTGTGGAACGCTGGACATCGAGGTGGTGTGGATGAAATTTTTGGTTTTGGCGCGATGTCCGATGGTGAAATTCAGCCGCTGGGATCAATCCAAACAATTCCTCGGAACACTCCCCGTGATAGATGCGGTAGAAGATGCAGAGTGACCCAACATCTCTACGCATAGCCAAAGGATCAAGCTGATCGGAAAGACCTTGATCGTCGATAACCCTAGCTGCCCTACGTTGGATGCGGTCAAATGGAAGAAGCTGGTAACAGGGGGCTCCCGCCCAGAGGTGAGAGCAGTACTCCATGTGGGGCCGAATTTGCGCCTTATAAAGGTTTAGGCGTTGAGCCGACGTGAAGTACTGTCTCGCCTTGCTGAGCACACCGAGCTTCTTTGAGGCCAATTTGGCCTTACTTTCCAATTGACCGCGGAACTGGACATTGCTCAAGATTTCGACGCCAAGTATTCCGATACTAGCTGTGACAGACAGGGGAGTGTTCTCAAAATGAGGAGTCACGACAAATGGGGACTTTTTAGCGGTTAACGCGCAAACTTGTGTCTTATCGGGGTTGAATTGGACTAAATTTAGTCGACCCCAGTCTGAGACTTTT